ACATCCTGGACTTCCTAATAGGATGGCCTGGGAAGGGCATGACACCATTTCTGTGGTTTCTTGTGAAAAGTACATACCTTTCATTTAATCATGAAGAGACATCAGACAAACTCAAACTGAAGAACAGTATCCTTCAACAGTGTTAAGGTCATAAAAGATGAAGGAAAAGAGACAGGACCAGTCCCAGACTGGAGGAGACTGAGAAAACATAACAGCCAAATGCAATGTGGGATCTTCAATTACATCTTGTTTGGGGATTGGGCAAGGCTCTCTGGAGGGCCAGGCAGGATTTGGTGCTTTTAGAATAGGTGATTGCTTGAGTAATTGAAAAGGTAGGGCCAAATGCGTAATCCAGAATGTGGTATGAGCCATAGAGTTTAAGAACAGTCTTGTGGCACCCTGTATTTTCCAGTGTAGCATTTATCAAATTATAATCACATATCTGTTTCTGCTACAGGAATATAAGCTCCATTAACACAGATAGGTACCCATCTATTTCATTCACCACTCTGTCCCAGTGCTGAATCCATTATTCAAAATATGTGCAGAAAAACATAGGCTCAGTCTTCGTTTGCTGGTCAGGCCCCTGCAAGCACATTTGTCTCTCAGTTTTACTCCAAGTACCTCCACTAGTTGGAATGCTCTGTTCACAGGTAACTGGGGGCTCTATCCCTTTATTTAATGCCTCTCCTTCCTTTGGATTCAAAGCAAACCCCATTTTTATTAGGCAGCATCTTGGGCTTTGGAGACTAGATATACGTATTCAGGTGCCTGTTCTTTCGTACTATAGCCTACAATCCACCTCAGGACTCTCCTCCTTTCCAGGCATGGCTACTTCAACAGTGACGAAAGGTCTTTGTATTTTTGAGCAGTGATTATCAAACTGTTTTAAAAATTTGTTGTTTTGTAATTATTGATGAATAGATTGTTTACTTATGTTTACAGGCTCTGTTTCTTTAAAAATTCATTGTATGATACTCAGATGTGTACATAAATAATACAGGTAAAATGGAACTACTCCCATCTGGTTGGAGGAGGGGAGTGAAGGGGAGTGAGCTGGGGAATAATGCAGAGCGTTCTCAGCTGACCACCCCATTCCCAACCACCACTCCTCTCTGGGAGCCTTTGAGGTATGGGAGACAAACCTTTTGTCCATAGTTTGAAATTCTGGGATTGCTACAATTTTGCTGCCATCTTTAGAAACACTGGTTGATATCTCCTGAGAACTATGGCACTCATCCTGCTCCCTTCTATTTTGTATTTACCATGCTACAATCTTGACTAGAAAAAATGGAGTGTATCTTTTTAGACCTAAGACCTAGTACAAAGCCTTCACCTCTTGGTTCACTTGATGAAAGTTTCTTGATGATGATCACAGGACCAGGATTTCCAGAAATTTTCCTGAGATGGCCCCAAAATTGGGCCTGGGGACAGAGAGAGGATTTTAATTAGTGGGCAGAGGTCATTATCTCTTATCAGTGAGGACTGTGCAGTAGTAATGTCAGAGGAGGTCATGGAACAAGAAACAATTAGGAGTTTTGGAGGACACCAGGAGATCTCATAGGTGCAAGATGGACTGAGGATGGGGGGCTGACAAGGTCCATGAGTGTAATAGCCTACTGCTACCCAAGATGGCCTAAATCTAGAAATGGAAGTGATCACCCCACGGTGACCTCTTCAGCAAGTTATTTGGATTCCAAGGTAATTGGAACTGGCTAGTTTCCAGGTACCTGAAAGATCAAATCCCAACAAAACATGGACAGGCTCCAAAGCAAAACTTTCCCCGACATTCCCCAGTCCTCATCTCTTAGGCCCTATTCTCGGCTCAAGCCTGAGTTCCTTTTCAGATCTAGATGAGACACCAGATCCAGATGAGAAAATGATGACGGCTGGAACAGCTGGAACGCTGGAGCACTCTCCACTAGGGAGTTGTGCTGGCTTTATGGGTGGCACAAGCTCACTGGCTGTTGGTGGGAGCATTCTGCCCTCTGCTGGATTTGGCAAGAAGAATGCATTTGCATTGCCTGCTAAGGAATTAATTAGATGGAAAGTTTTTTTTTATTATCTCTGAAAACAAATATTTGCTGGCATATTGATGAGGTTTAATTAATCAGGGAGCACATCCTTTAAACGACATGGTTTCCTAGGGGATTTCCAGGTATCCAGGAAAAAAATCCTTTTCATATGTCTACTTCCCGCTTAGAAAGCAGAGGTGTAAAATATACAGTGCAGACATTTTTAAGGAAATGTAAAGTCTCAAAGCCACATTTCTAGTAATTTTTAATGCATTTGTATGGTCTGATGTGATAGAACTTTGGAGTATGTTCGGACGGGCTGCTTGGGTTTAATTCTGCAAGATACTGAATCTCCCTGAAACTGAGTCTCTTCATGTGTCAGGGATCAAACCCACTTTGAAAGGTTGTCATGAGGATCGAGTGAGCTAATCACATATGTGAAAGGACTTGAGTGTGCCCGCTAACACCGTGGCATTTTATACATATGCACTGTGTGCAGGTTCACACAAGAGTATGCATGCACGTGCTCACGCACACTCACACACACACTCATGCACACACACATACACACACACGGTTCACACAAAAGCATCAAGCAATGTTGTTTGATTATTGACTTTTATTGACTTCCTGAAATTGATTCTGAGTAAAACTAGAAAAAGGACACCAATATTTCAAATCTAGAGAATGAAAGGAACCTTCTTAAACATGTTGAAAGAAAGCAAGATGCCCTTAAATAATTTTTGTAAGATGGCCTGGAGACAGAGCAACTTTTTGCTAAGTACTATTTACCTTCGAGTGCCTGTCATCATGTTCCATATAATCCATAAGAACATATGTATTTCTCACTTTCATAAACAGAAAAATGGCCAAAATGAAGTCTCAGGACAATCTCGTATAGGTATCCAATCCTTCCCTTCCTCCCTTTCCTCTTTTGTTCTGAGTCCTTCTTTATTCCTTACTGTCCTGTTCTTTTCCTGTTTGATTTGAAAGCATAAATAAGCTATTTCCACTAGCATTGTCATTGCTGGCGAGGCTGAGCCATTTCTTGTCCCCTATAGCAATTCTATAAGCAAACCTACCCTTTTCTCTTCAGTGCTATTATTACTATTGGAGTAGAATATGGTCCCAGCTTCTAAATCATTGGTCATCCAAAGGGTAAAAAGTTGAATGACAAAGGTGTTGATATTAATGTAGTAGCTCTTTAATTAAAAAACCAAATTTTAACTGAAAATTTGTTTAACTGATTTTATCCTCTCCATTAATATATCTACTTAATAAAGGGTTTTAAACCTCCCATTTGTGCTTGCAGCTGAAGAGCAAACCCAAGTAATTGATCTCCTTGCCAGCCTCAATAAGTGCTATATTGATGTTTTATAGAAAATTTAACTTCAAGAGAAATTTAACACTAGTTGTTGAAGACACAAAGGAATAAGATATGATCTTGATACATGAGATATTCAGGCTTTATTTACCTATATAAATAAATATGTGATAAGGTGGTGATGTGGAAATTGAGGAAGAAATAACCAGAAGAAGTCATTTAACCTTGAAGAGCGAAAAATTTTCCAGGTGGGCAAAGTGTGTGTGTGTGTGTGTGTGTGTGTGCGCGCGCGCGCGTGTGGGTGTGTCTGTGTCTGTGTGTTTGTGTGTGGTTGGAATAGTAGGCAGGGGAGCAGCCTTCAAGGCAGAGTGTACCAGATAAGGATGATATAGTATTATGGAAATCTGTGCTGTCGTTAGAATAACAGGGCTGGTGAGCTTGAGTCTAGAAAGGTAGTTTGGAACCAAATGAAAACCCTATTTAAATGCTAAGATATGGACCTTCAATCTCACTGGGTATGTGTGTTAACCAATACACTTGAGTGATGGATTGATACGATGCCTCTATAATCTGTTAGGGAAGTGTTTACTAGGGAGGAAAGTTGGGTTTAGGGTGGTATTATAATTCCCTAGTCTTTAAAAATACGTGTGACTTGCTGAGTGGGAACTGTACTAGCCTCTATGTTCCATGCAAACTGGGTTGAATTAGTGACTCCCAGAACAGACTCGAATCCTTAGCATCTTTAAAACACAACAGCTTAAATCCCTTTGGATGCATCAGAGAGTCATGCATTTTTTAAAAGTAGTTATGTCTTGTTAGTCTCAGATAACCATATACTCTAAAATATCTGGAATTCAATGCCTGAAGAGAAGGGTTTGCAAACGGCATAAGTCATTTCCTATATCCGACCTGCCATTTTTTTTCACGTAAAATAAAAAGGAGATCAAGAAAGGACCTGTGGATAAAAGCTTTCGGCTTTTCCAAACATGCTTGCTCACCTGACCAATCATTTTTAAAAAGCCAGATTTTTTATACAAACTGCTTGTCGTGGCATTACTGATCCTAACTCTACTTGTCTGACTATAGTCATTCCATAAACATCATGAGAGACAGGATTGCTTCCAATAAAGCTTCGTTTATGGCATCTTAAGGGAAGGCACTTTGAATTGATATTCCCAATCCCTATCCTCATAATGAGATATACCGGTAGCTTAAAAAATTTTTCTTTTGTATGTTTGCTCAGCACTTAGCTCATTATAGACATTCTGAAGAATGGAGCACATTCCATTAAACAATTTGAGCAAAAGTAATGTGTAAATAAGTATAAGTGGCATAGCTTGGTGCTTAGTGCCCCCGCTACAGCTGTAGGAGCACAGACCGTGTCTGTCTTGTTTGTGCCTCTGTCTCTATTCCCCGGCACATAGCAGGTGCTCAGTAAACACCTGAGGAATAACGAGACAATGCATAGACTCCCTTTCCTTGTGACTTGGCTTGCCATGGTTATCCTAAGGGCAAAAGAAAGTAATACTTGCTCTATGACTACTTGGGCTCATGAGTTAATGTTTGCAAAGAGCTTTGAACTTCTTGGGAAAAAGAATGGTGTTTTTGTTGGCACCGCGTCATGTTTGCAGTGGCTCATGAATTACTCCTCCTTTTCTTCCTCCAGCTGCTCGCACTGTGCCCTCCCCCAGCTCTATGCCAGGCCAGGATCTCACAGAGGACAGCTGCACTCCTCTTCCTGCCTTCCTCCAGCCACCTCCAGTACTCCAGGAGAGGTAGGGACAGAGCAAACACTGGCAAGATTTCTCTCAGGCCTCCTAAGAGACTCCGGGGTAATGGAATTCGGGTCAATCCTAAGGACTCTTAGAGCAGCAGGAGTAGAGAGGAATGCAGGTTCTTGTCCCGCCATGGAAGAAGCTGTTAGGTTAGACAGGCAGATCTGTGAGGACTAGATTTTGAAGGTGAACTAGAGGCCATCATACGGGCAACTAGGAGTAAGAGCCAGCACAAGTGGTTTCTTTTGTGTATATAGTTTTAAATACATAATACAAAGCTTTGACTAGTAACTGGCAGAAAACACAGTTTCATTACAAGGAACTCCTAAGACAAGCCCGATTGCTTTTATATGGGTAGAACTTTCGACTGTTAGGACTACTTTCTCTATAATTCTTAAATATTTGATAGTGACAAATAAAGGGGGTCTATTTCACAACAGATACTGGCTTCAGTGTTTTCCAATGTACTTATGACTACAAAAATCGTGTTTATTTTTAGGAACTCAATAATTAAGCAGTTCAAGTGTGATTTAGGAAACAAAGAGATTTTGATTTTGCTTTGTTTTGTTTTAGTAAGAATGGCTGTCCCTTATGAACAAATTCGAGAAAAAGAGGTTTGTGTTTTTGTTTTTGTTTTTTTCAGGTTACCATATATTGACTTTCAGCTGATCACACACAACAAATATCTCAAAGGAATGCAGGGAGAGCTGGTTACAGGCAGAATAACCAAATTGACTATCAGTGACAGGGTTTGCCTTAAAGGCAGGAACAGTTCCCATTTTCCACAACTTTGAAGTGACTTGTTTTCCAAACCAGCTCATGAGGTTTCCTCTGTGTGTGGAAAATTCTTTATTACATATATTTATTTTTTTTCCATGATACACATTTGTATGATTGTTCCTGTACAGGTACCAAATATGTTCTCTCTCTCTATTGTTCCTAGGGACTGGAAATGGATGTCATGTGGACAAAAACGAACCTGGTATCCTGTTAAAAAAGCCACATAAATGATGCCTGTTTTGTTTCCCAAAAAATCTCAGGTAAGTCTGGCTTTAGTTGACATCATGAAGTTAACCAAAAGTCTTATATTTTGTTTTAAAAAATTACGGAAGGGAACTTTTCCGCAATTAAATTGGGCTCAATAATCTGAAAACAAACACAAGCAGAGTTTATTGTATAGTTATATAAGCAGCATTGGAAACTCTGAGAGTTTAATGTCCCCATTAAAGCCACATGTGAAACATTTATTTGGGAGTGACTCCGGATAAGAAATGGTTTCCTTCTCCACTTGATTCATTATCAAATGAAGGACCCTGATTTTCCATTTGTTTGGGGTTTGAGAATCGCATAGGCATTATTGACTTTTTGTTGGTTTTTTTCCTCTTTATTTGTGAGGTATTTGATACTACGCAGTTTGCCCACATCGTAAAATAAACAGAAGAGATCCCCCTTCAAGGAAAGAGGAGGAGGGCAGTATGAATTAGGGAGAGATCAAGTTTCTTTTTCAGAATGTTAGTGTCCTGTGATATTGCAGGGGACTGTAAGTTCTCGGAGAGAAGACAGCAGGAAATCTTGGGAGCCCCAGCTCAGAGACCAGGAGGAATCACTGTCTGAGATTTGCCACCCAAAGTTCTATGGTAAGTTTGAGTTTGGAATGTGTGGGTTGATTCTCATTTTGTGTTATTTTCTTGTGGTCGGGAGAGGAGGAAGTGAACACGTTTTAATGAAGTGTAATATACTAAGATAAATAAAATATTGGAGGAAGTATTGCTGGGAATTCCTCATTCGCATGTTTCATGAGTAAACTGACTGACAATTTTAAGGTTTCTTTCCTAAATATTTTGGACTTCTACTCTTTGTTACTCAGTCTCTTTTTTTTGTTCTTGTTATTCTTGTTACTAGAATTCTTCCACTTTTTCTTTACTAATAGGGTAGGTGGATTTGCTAATAGGGTCAGTGAATTCCCTTGGTGGTGGGAATGTCTTCTGTAAAAGCAGATGTTAAGTTTGTGACAACCTGACTATTTTTGGTCATAGCTGGAAGGTCCAATAAATATGGGAGTGCGAAATTACATCAAGGAAAAGGGAAAAGAGAAGAGAATAGACTAGAAAGGTGGAAGTTCTTATGTAGAGAAAAGGAAGATGGTGAGGAGCCAAATTTAAGTTGGCTAAGCACTGGACTCAAAGACGATACCCTAGTGATGAAGAACGTGTAAGGCCACTCATGGAAATTCACTGTGTGTGTGTGTGTGTGTGTGTGTCCTTAACTTTGTATCATCTACAAAGAATAAACAATCAAATATTTATTGAACAGGGGCACCTGGGTGGCTCAGTGGGTTAAAGCCTCTGCCTTCAGCTCAGGTCATGGTCTCACGGTCCTGGGATCGAGCCCCGCATCAGGCTCTCTGCTCAGCAGGGAGCCTGCTTCCTCCTCTCTCCCTGCCTGCCTCTCTGACTGCTTGTGATCTCTATCAAATAAATAAATAAAATCTTTAAAAAAATTTTATTGAACAAAAAAGCTATCTCTTTTTGTAGCTGCTACAAGAATTATAAAGTTTAGCAAGCTAGTTGCTCTCGGGTCCTTTCTGTGTGATGGGCCTCAAGAAGGTAAACAGAACTCAGACAGAGGCAGCTGAAACCCAATAGAAGTTGCAGCCGAAAAGTGAGCGAGCAGTGAGCAGATCACCCAGTGCTCCCTCAGATCGTCATGAGGGCAGTCACACTTTTGGGTTACACCACCAGGGGTCAGGGCATTGTCGTCAGGGAAGCTTTTTTAAAGGACATTGGGTGTCAAAGGCACAGGGCAGTGGATCTCACACTTTTCAGAATGACAAGTGTTTAAGTTCCTGGGTCTTGCCTGTAGTGATTCTGATTCAGGAAGCTGGGGTGGGAAATTGGGGTGGGAAGTGGGGGAATATCCCTGGGAATCTTCAGCTTGTAAAAGAGGCAGGTACTGAAGGACCTCACGTTCCAGATAGATGTGTGGGGTTTCTCTAGCTTGTTAATCTTATTAGAGGACCATTGGTTCAGAGACCATCAGGAAGGAGCCTGGCTCTGAGAGACACTCACGGCAGGTGAGTTGAAGAGGTAGTGTCTTTGTCACACAGACCTGGGTTTGAATCCCCTGTGGCTTTGCACAAAGTGCTTTTCTTGGCTGAAATTCAGGTTTCTCCTTTTTAAAAGAGGGCAACCATATTGTTTACCTCTGGGATTTACAGAAAATAATGGACGCGAAGCACTTAGAAGAGTGGCACAAAATAATGCAATTAGTAAATACTACCACCTGCGGTGGGGAGAGAAGGGGGAATATCAGTGATAAGCCCTCTGTGGCCAGGAGAATGGTTTGGGGCAGACAGAGCTCAGGTGTGACCAACCAGAAGGCTAGTTCTTAGATCTTGGGGGTCCAGGGGCAGGTTCTGAAGATAGACCATAGACCAGAAAATGCATAAACATGAGGGTGGGAGAAACACTTTCTCAAATGTTTTCCAGGAGTGGTAATAAGGAACCCAGATGGCACAGTTAATTGGAATTGTAATTGATCCCCAAATAGTATTTAAGTCAATAGTTCATTGATTTTCCTCAGGAAAACCTTTATAAGAACTTCTAGAAGGGAACAAAGTGAAATGCATCAAATGCAGTGATTTGTTCATATCTGCCACTCACCCTACATGGAAGGAGTAATGAATGAGGAGAAAAATGGAAAGGAACAGGGACCATAAATCATAAGGCTGTAATGAAATGAAATCCTTTTCTGGTAATTCAGTGTGATGTCGGGTCGTACTGAACTGGCTGGCTTGCTTCCATGTGACTGTTGCCAAGGTACTCTCCCAAGATGAAGCGCGAAGGGTAGAGGAAACAAGCTGATGCCTTTCTTCAAAGACAAAGATAAAATTTAGAGACACTTAAGTGTACGCTGTGACTGAAACAGCCAACAAATTAATGGATGGGGGGAAAGAGGAACCGGTGGGAGTGTGATGCAACCAGACTATCCCTAGAACTTCCTTTCTACCCTGAATGCCCTTCTGATCCTGAGGCACTGTGATAAGGCATAGATGGTGAGACAAATCCCAGTAGCTTCATATTTTCACCTGGAAGATAGTCCCTAAACTGGGGTACCTAAGGTATTGCCAAAGCCTAGCTATTTTGAAGAATTTTGCTTATTCTGAAATACAAATTTTTCAGTGATTTTCCATAAACCCAAGTTTCAACTTAAATGTATTTTAACCAGTGCCGTTACTTCTCTGAATGCTACTGCTATATTCTCAGTAAATAACCTTGATACTGCATGACAATGACAAATAAGTGATGAAGAAAGAGATGTTAAGAGGAGTCACCATTTTGGGGGCTCTCATGCTCTCCTAGGTATTAGGCTGGTTTTATTTCCTCCTTGGTCCTTATACTGACCCTGTTAGGAGGCATCATTGTGGAGAATTTCTATGAAAATTTTAAGAAGTCACAGAAGTAGCAAATAGTAAAACTGAGGTTCGAATCCAGATCTTTCTAACTCTAAAATCCATGTTTCTAGTCCTGTAAGATACCGTATATCTGTCTACTAAGTGCATTTGTAGTAAGCCTGTAGAGATCGCTCCTTGATCCAGGGTGTTCTATTGTTCAAAAATACAATGCAAAGTGTGTGTATTGTCCCCCTCCTTCACTTTTCCCTTGTGAGCACTTTAAGGGAGCTCTTTTCCTAACAGCAAATATATATAAAATTTATTTATTTACTTACTTATTTATTAATTTGAGAAATGAGTTACTGACTGGTCTGAACTTGCTTGCTGGCATATACATGAAAGTGACAATTTTTTCTTCTCCAGTTACTTAAGCCTGGTCAAATTTCCCTTTTCCTTGGGCAGATACCATCATCTTTGTTTTTTCTATAAAAAAATGAAAACAAAACACACTGATTCTGTGTTACAAAAATTCAGTCTCGGGGCACCTGGGTGGCTCAGTGACTTAAGCCTCTGCCTTCGGCTCAGGTCCATGATCTCAGGGTCCTGGGTCCTCTGCATCTGGCTCTCTGCTCAGTGAGGAGCCTGCTTCCCTCTCTCTCTCTGCCTGCCTACTTGTGATCTCTCTATCAAATAAATAAAGTCTTTAAAAAAAATTCAATCTCAATCCAATTTAAAAGTTCTCTTTTGACATCATCTGTTAGTATAAGGTCTTAACATGGAAGGATGGACTGTGGTATGCCTCTGGGATACAAGGCTCTCTCTCCCTCTCCCAGGCTATAATTTGAGGAGATTTGGGACAGGGAGGAAGGAGAAGGAAAGGACGAGTTTCTTACATTTCATGGTGAAGTTTTCATCCTTCTGTTCAAGATTTTGACTCTATCTCTGGTTAATGTTGAGTAGCGGGTTGTGGTCCTGTGTACAGTAGGCATCCGTATGATAGTTTTCAGAGTGCTTTTTGGGGTCTCTCCAAATTACTGAGCTGGGAGATCCACCTCCAGTAAGATCTTATCCACATAACACCTCACTTCCCCAACCCTACCACCCAGCCTCCTCCTGCTGGGTCTTCTTGGTCGGCAGCCCATGCTTGCTCATGGAATATGGGAAGACAGGACCAACTAGCATCTTCCCCTGAGTCTGCGTGGTCCACAGGAAAAGGTTGCAAGTTTCCCCAGGGCTCTGTCCTCTCTCCACAGCTCTTTTTACCCTCAGTTTAAATAGATACAGTAAGTAAATTGACGAGGCCATGGCTTATGCAGATGTCAAAGTTAGCCAGGGCACACTGACATTCCCTTCTCACAGCCTCCCTCCCTGGATTGAAGAATAGTTCTCTTGGTGCCTCCTGAACTGGGCTCAGCAGTGAGAGTGTGTCTTCAGGGAGTGGATCAAATATCAGCACTCTCTTCCACCCTCATCAAGGGGCCCACACAGCTTTGAAGACTTGCTACTTCTCTTTTCTGGCTCCAGCCATGCTTTTAGACTTCCCTGGGGAAGGGGAGGGCACAGTCTGAGGTGGCAATCGAGACATTTACCCTCTCCTGCAGGTAGCCTGGAAGGAAATGGAAGCCACAGTTGTTCTCCAGCTTCTTTATCCCAATATTGGAGTACTAATGAGTCATTGCAGGGTGGCAGAAAGACTTACACTTAACAGCTTTGTTACATGTGTATACTTCTTGGGGCAAAAATTAATTAATTGATATAAAATGAAAAATGTCTTCTTTATAGAAGACACTGTGAAGACAATGAAAAGACAAGCCAAAGACTGGTAGAAAATACTTCCGAAAGACATATCTAATGTAAGACTGTTAACCCCAAAATACCGAGAACACTTAAAACTCAATGATAAGAAAATGAACAAACTGATGAAATAAATGTGCAAAAGATTTGAACAGACTCCCCTTCAAAGAAGATATACAGATGGTGAATAAGCCTTTGTATGATGCCCAATATCATATGTCATTAGGGAATTGCAAATTTAAACAACAATGAAATACCACTACATACCCATTAGTACAATGAAATCCAAAACATTGACAACACTGAATGCTGGCCAGCATACGGAGCAACAGGAACTCTCATTCATTGCTAGTAGGAAGGCAAAACGGTACAGCCACTATGGAAGACAGTTTGGCAGTTTTTGACAAAATTAAAAATACTCTTACCCTCAAATGCAATGATTGCTCTCCT